TGTTTTCTTACATTTTGGCGGCTAGACACTAATTTTAAACACTTTTTATTAATTTCATGCAGTTATAACATCGTGAATACTAAACACAAGCTCGAAAGGCTGGTTTTACTTGTGAAACAAAATCCCAAAACTCTGTTGGCACAATCTCTGAGAACAAAATCGTAGCGCTGTTGATAGTTTTAAAATATTTTAAATAGAATTGGCTCACAAACGCCTCTTTAGATGGTCGGAACTTTTTAATGAATCTATAGACAAATTTCTTAAATCGTCGCCTTAGAGTGTAAACCTGCTAACGACCAAAAAACATATTTTACTGTAGAGGCAAAAAACTAAATATATCTTTAACTCTTAATCTAAGGGGCAAATCCTACATATAGTTTGTTAATCGCGCGACGTTCTATGGTCCTAATCCAGAACGAATGAAAAAAATTACGTTTTTATGGTTTTATTGGCGAATTTCTAACTTAGCAGGTTTTAGTTTTTGTATTTTCAAAATTGAAGTGGATTTAGCAGGTTTTTTGTATGAATAAAATTGTTTCTATTTTATTTTTTGTGATTACGAGCTGAATCATTCCCTATCTAACTGCGAGCGAGTGTGGACGTGTCTAGCGCAATAACCTAGTGGAACATTTTCTTTGGCGCCTACAACTTATTCATTTTAGTTTTTCTTATAGCAGTAAAGTACAGCTAGGGCTATACGCATAGCTGTATAAGCCTTTTTTCATTGTTGGCTTCGGGCCTTTTAAGTTCTTTATAAATTAACAACCACCAAAAGGATAAACGGTGTTACAGGTGAGTGATTTTGCTTCTTTCGTGAAGTGTGAAAAATGTTGTTCTTTTTGATTAGTGGTGTCTTACAAGTGAGAACCTGCCGCATACGGCAGTAAAAAGAAAAGCCGATATGGCGTCGTCGACGAGCGCGAACCTTGCTAAAGGTAGAAAGTTCAAGAAAAATACCCAAGATAAAATAGTGAAATACCTAAAGGCGCATGATTTGGCTAAGACAAAAGCTGAAATAAGTGCTACCGGTGAAATAAAGTTTGATGAAAAAGTGCAAGATGATGAAATGTTAGGGGACGCCGATGCGTCAAACGGTAACATAGCGGACGACAGAGTACCGCTAGGTGCGCCCGATGGCACATTTAGTTCAGGTACAGTGGAGGCAAAAAATAATGATACGGTGATTTTAAATGATACACAACTATACCCGCCAAATTTTTCTGGCATAATTCTTGTTTTAGTAGACTCATCTGAGTGCAAAGATATGCAAAATGACAAAATAACTAATGGCTTGACTCTTTTTAACAAAATTAAACATTTGAATATTAAAGATATAGAATTCATACAGTCAATCGGTAAAACTCTCTACAAAGTGACCTTCAAAAATTGCGCATCTGCAAACAACCTTATTTTAAACAAAAAAATTAGCGACTTGGGGCTAAAACCCTTCATACCAAAAATCGCTTTGGAATCATACGGTGTCGTTAGAGGCATCCCCACTTCTTACAATGATTCTGAGATCATGGCAAATGCCATTTCAAGCGCTCCAATTAGGTCAGTTAAACGTTTTTCTCGAAGGATCGAGGACAATACCTACGTCCCTACAACCACGATCATGTTAGGCTTTGCTGGAAAGGCAGTTCCTAAGTACATCATCCTAGATTATACAAAACTATATGTTGACTTTTTCATACTACCTCTAAGGCAGTGCATGAATTGCGGTATGCTTGGGCATACCCAATTCTCATGCAAGTCCAAAAGGAGGTGCATCTTGTGCGGTGAAGGCAGCTGTGAGGAGGGTTCATGCAGGAAGAAGTGCATTCTGTGCGGTAGCACCGAACACACATCTTCAGACAAAACTAAGTGCCCAACATGGGAAAAGGAAGTTATGGTTAACCATATTAGGGCAGTGAAAAAAATTTCTAGGAGAGAAACTCTTCAAACATATTTCCCTAACAGACAAAATCAATATGATGCGTTGCAGATGATGCAGAGTATCCGGCACTATCCCGCGATAGTAACACGAAGAATAGAGATGCTAGCGTCAATAGAAAGATGACTAAAATTAAATATAGCTGGGTAGCTAATAAAGCAAACGCAAGGCAGGCTAGGAGTAGCAGGACAGTTGAGAGGCCCAGAGACAGACGTGACAGAATGGATACAACTCCGATTTTTGACAAACCAGAATACGTTAAAAACAAAGTAACAGAGATGGAGAGGATACTCAGTGATCTCTTCAAGATCACTCAAAGCCTCTGCATTAATGAACAGCTGAGCAAACCATTGACCGAAATTTTACAACTTAAACATAAATTTGAACAAATAATAATGCAGGACGAGTTAGAAATTGTGAAACAAGGGTGTAGTGTGCCCCCGCAGAATGCATGATGAAGATCCTTCAACATAACTGCCAATCACTTAAAGCAAATATCGACACAATCGAGTTTTTTCTAAATCAGTACAACTATGGCATAGCTGTTTTGAGTGAAATTTTTAGTTCTAATGAACAACCCCACAGAAATATTATTGATTTCAACATAATTGAAAAAAATAGAGATGATGGATATGGTGGAGTAGCCATAGTTCTAAACGAAAGAATAAAATTTCGTAAATTGATTTTTAACTCTGTACTTGACATACTGACTATTCAAACAAAGAACCTAAAACCAAACTTAGTAATTTGTGCAACCTACTTCCCACAAACAATACCCATTGAATTATTTAAAAATGAGATGAACAGACTGCTATCCTTCCTTGAAAGCTTTGAAGATGTCCTGATACTAGGGGACTTCAATGCGAGATCCAGTGTATGGGGTGACCAGATAACTACCTGTCGAGGAAACAATCTTCAGAAAATCATGGCGGAATTCAACTTCTTGGTATTAAATGATGGGTCAATTACTTTTAAAAACAACCTTGATCTCCCAAACGGGTCTGTTTTAGATCTCTCCTTCTCCAACAGCAGCCTTCCCTTTCGATGGAAAACTGACTATTAGATTAGGAGGTAGTCATCACTTTCCAATAACTATTGAAACTAATACAATTGAAAACTGCTCGCCTAGGTTTCTAGCTAAACTCAAAGTCATGAAAGAGTTAGAACATCGTAACTTATCTCCTAACGTTGATGATATCCATA